TCAGACTTTCAGAAACTCTAAAACCCTTAAATTTAATAACCTGCAACTTGTCTTTTTCTATACACACAAAACGAGCAAGAAAGGCTACATTTTTGTGGTGTCCCAAAAGCATTACACTGAAGAAAGTTGAATTCTTTGTTTATTTATAAAATGCCGACTAATTTGCAAAACCGATGATAACATTTGTGAACGAAGATGCCCAGAAAACAAAATCGAATGAAAATTTAGGGGGAAATGGAAAAGAGAGAGAAGACAATACCGAGTTTTGCAGAGAAGACTGTGACTGGATATTTCCGACCTCTCGTAGTTTATGAGTCCGTTCACCTCTGATTTCCCGAGAAACTGAAAAATTTTCTCGGAAAATCTGGTGAAGAAACGAGGAAACGAGAGGATTAAAGCATAAATTTTGTGAAAATTATAGAAAGAAATCTAAGGGTTGAAGGAGAGAATCTGGGAGATATAAATCTGTAATCTTCTAAATTAGGAAACAGGGGTTTAAATGCATAAACGAAAAGTCTTGGGGGGTTTTTAATGCATCAACCTAAATGATTGAAAAATCAGAGAGTTTCAACATTAAAAGACTTTTGAATTTCTGATTGGTTGACATTTCGAAAGAAGAAGATTTTCGTTGTTTTTAAGATTCGATTTTTCTCCGCAGATTACAAAATACAAAGACCAAGACGATGAAGAAAGCTACGGCGAGTAAATGCCAAAATTTTCCCGAGAAAATATCAAACTTTGAAGATACTGGCAAATCGAATGCTGACAATTCTCGATGACAATCTATTTGTTTCCCAACTAAATTGGAGTTAGCTGAGTCTGAAAATCATTCATGCGAAGAACGTTTGAAAACAAAATCGAGAGTTTCAAGCACACACGAAAAAGAGAAAACAAAAACTTGTTTTTCTTTACTGTAAAGATGATCTGCGAATTGTACTGTTTCGATGATTTTTTAAGATGAAACAAAATTGAAAACCGATTAGTGTTTTAAGCCTTCTCGAACAAAATTCATGTCAGAACCCCTAAATCCGATGAATTAATTATCTGATTTGTCTCTAAAAAAATATTTTTTTTTTTACAACACACTTCTTCATTTCTTCATTTAGCCAAGTAAATACGTTGTTTGCATCTACAAACCAAAATATAATAGAAGTGCCAATAAAATTAAAAACAGTGTTGCGTTCCCTAGAAGTCCGTGCGAGCAAATCAAGTTTCACGTTTCTCTCTCGGGGTTGATACACCAACTCGAAATCTAGAAATGAGTTCCGCAGTTTCGGCAAGTACATTCAACTCAGGTTGGAAGCATGGCTAATCTTTTGGATTTGTGATCATCTTGATGAGATCCTGGGAGTCAGTACGAACAGGTTGCAAAACCTATTTTTTCGTTTCAAACTCGAAAGCGCCTATAATAGGCTCACAACCTCTCTGTGGAGAGGGGGCGAAATAGTCTACTTGTCTCCATGAATGCCTAGTAGATGTGTAGTATCATCCTGTAGTTGAAATACCACCTAGCACCGCTCGTAAAACCACCTTTTTCCACCTAATATATATAACAATCATAATAATACTATGAACCGTTTAAGAACTATCTATATATATCAAATATCATATTAGTGTTGAAAACTACTCTACCAAAAACAAAAACGGAGTAATTTGGGGCTAAGTAACGTAACAAAGAAACACACATTCCCTTCTCTTAGCCGTTCTCTATCCTTTATGACCTGATAATGGAGATTTCCCTCCTGAATTGGTGTGTCGCAGATTCCCTACAATAAATTAAAAGATGTTTAGTAAAATGTTTAGAGTCGACTATCTATTTCCCCATGAAAACTATTATATTACTACATATGCACACCTCAAACTAATGCCTCTTCATATATGTCCCTGAAAATAAAGTTCCTCGAGGAAAGGTGCAACTTTTTCAAATCTTGAGCCTTGACAACAGATAAACCGAAAACAGGTGATCAAGATTCATATTTCATCACAAAACCTCAATTAGTAGTAGCAGAGATGCATTTGAAATTCTATGTAGCAAAGAAGAGCCACATTTTGCAGAGGAGATGATTAGGACTAGGGAATTTGAAAATAGTGTACCACACAAAGCATGAAAATCAGAATCTAATGTTATTAAAAGTTCAAAAC